TCGTTATAACAGAAAGAACCTAGAGTGAACAGCTTTTAAACTGCACAACGAACATTCATTATCACAGGGCTCTCCACTTCCCTTGTGCGGTATCTGTTGTGAGCAACTTTGCCACCACACGAATAACCTTTCGTTGAATTTCAAAAAGAGCCGAATTTTTATGGGAATATTTACCAAATTTGACCCACTCAGGCTGGTAAGTTCTTTTGCCACCGGCATAGTAAGTTCATCGGACACGCGAAAAGAGATTTATGGGCTCCCATCTAAAGCTTCTACGACTTCCGTCGCTGCCAAGTCACGTATGCTAGGCCTATTAGATCGCGTAGTTTGTAGCTAACCAATCAGCTGTCGTTCACAGAATTTCATCCACCTCTGTAGGAAATTGTTGCAAAAGCATCTTATTCAACTGCGTGGTTTGGTGTCTTCACGCATCTGCTATTGATTTCAAATCAGCAAGTCGAAGTATTTAGTTCTCTTCTTCCGTCAACTCGACAACTAAAGAAGTAAATACTAAAAAGGAAAAAAATAACAGAAGCGATACAAACCTAAATGCATAAGCGCCTACCATGAAAGGTTTAAATAGTTGAAATTTGATATAAATTTTTTTTCTCCAAAATCAGACAAATCTTCAGGTTCTGAAAGATGGCCTGTACCACCTCTCGGCATGGCCGTTGGCCAGTGGTCTTCTACGGAATGATCATACGTCATTTCATGCCTGTTTCTGATGACTACTCCCTCCCAGTCCTGGATCCTTAGACATCCTGTCCAATGAGGTATCCTGTTTCTGTTACTTCGGTGTTACTCTGACATCTAATCTTTTATTGCCTCTTTATATGTAAACTCTTTTCATTAATGTTCGTAAACTTTTATATTATATCAGTTGGTTAGGTTTCTGTCACACACTGCAAGCCCTAAACTGGCGATTTATAGATACCTGTATTCTCTCCTTCATCCGCTACTATATTCGTTTTATTTTTTCTACCCTGCCTAATAAACACGTGTTGATTTTTAACCGTTTCCCCCGAATGCTGCCGGTATTTTGTATGATTTGTTTTATCTGATATTATAATACAGCGAAACTTTACTAGGGTCAAGCAATTCACTGATCAAATTCTTGATGAGGTTGTCCACCCCTTCACTCGCAATTAATGATTGCGACGTTTTCTCATAATATGCGCCGAAGCTTCCCACATATGCCCTGCCGTACATCCGCATGTCACCATTCTTTCTGCCCTTTCGAGCCTGCTAGCTCATGCGTAAAGAAGCGGAAATCCAGAAGCTGTAATTGGATCTGTCTCCATAACGGACGGGTATTTTACGTAAAACTCAACATTTTTGAGCATTTTGTTAAAGTACCCCCTGGTCTCAGTGAATGGAATCATTTTGCGGAAAAGTTGGATGCTACCTTCAAGCTAATGTGTATGTCTCCCTCTCTAGCACCTACCCCCAGTTCCAACACTAGGCTGTAACCCCTGAGCCGAAACCTTAGTTGAACGCTAATCTTACTGATGACACTTAAAAGAAACATGATGTAAGCCTAGGCGGGGCCATATATCTGATTTTTACGCTAGAATGGCCATTTCTGACTTCGGAGTCATCATAAGCTAGCCATACCTAACCCTAAGTTGTGCAATTTCTGAGGCGCAAACTCATGATCTACTCTTGTTACAGGTCCGATGGCCTAACCATTGAGCCACGGGCCCCTTGCCCTGCCGGCTGCGATGGCATATACTCACTGTGGCCAGAGGCGCTCACAGCTCATGATCCACGACCTACTCTGAACGCAAATCATCGAGTAGACGAATGCTTCAGAATATTAATTCCGTCCCCCATACTAATTTTGGTATCAAGGTGCAGAACCTCGGATCGATAATGCATGCCCAAAGCACAGGTGGGATGATAACAATGGCAAGACTTGCTGTCCTCGGATTTCCAATCATCACCCTTGGAAGCATCACAAGATCCCTTAACATAGATAAATCCCACTCTTTTTTCTCACAATAGACTGCACTACCATTTAAATGCGCTCGAACAGCACTATGCATTTCAAGGATAAAGGTTTATGTGCGACGGCACCTTGGAAGTTGATCTGCAAAAATATCGCATTCAAGGAGCGGCTAAATGATTAACGGCGTCGTTTTGAAATGAAAGCTGTTTAAGCTCGTCATCTGATCTATCCAGGGGCTTATATTCCAGCTCAGTGATCGTCAGTGCCCGGCTTACTGCGACTGGTCAGGTGTTAAAGCACAAGGTCATTCAAAACGTCGATCAATAATTGGGCGCAACTCGCACGTGTCTGACCGTCGGGACTAGAAGCGCCCTTTAGGTGAACTTAGTTTTATCCGCGAGACGACATATCTCTTCAGGACCTAACACGCACGGCGAATACCTCTCGATTACCGTCAACGCCCTGATAAAACCAGTAACTCCTCCAAATTTCATAAACTTCCGAGGCCTTCAATTTTCTTTTTTTCTGAAAAACTGACAAGTCACTGAATTATGGCTCGGTCTTTGGAATGCAACCTTGCATACTTTCATTGATAGTTGCAGAAACTACAAGAGTTCTTCATGATCAGCAGTAAACATCTGGTTGAAAAAAAAACCAAGTTTAAATGACTGTTGACAAAAAGTTTAAAATCTCACCGCCACCTGCACGAAAATCGGACGACAGACTTAAACGAAAAAAGGGCTTTGGCTTTAAATTCTTTGGTCGAAAGAAGAACAACACCACCTCCACTGAGTCCTCTGCTACTGATGATGAAGCTTCCACTAGCAGGAGCGCAATTCCGTCTGGTAGCGAGGAGGCTCCATGGTCGGGTCAGTTGGATGCCCACTTTCCCGAGACCCTGCAAGCCGTCAGAAAGAGTCTCCAGAATCTGACTGCAGAGGTTCACAACGACAGTAGGCGGCTAACATGCCTCATTGGAAAGTCGCTGTCCAGGACGTCTGACAGGACGGTCCGCAACTCTTCTCACTTCCTTCCATCAACAGAGGAACTGCGTGAGATCAAACACAGCATAGAGCTGCTGGTAGACGAAGTCAGCTGCGAGAACAAGCATATAAAGGCGGTGATTCGAGAAGCCCTGAAGGATCCCAGCCGGTGCGCCCCACCTCACATCAGTATAAAGTCAGCCACCGATCCGTCTAAGTGTTCAAGTGAGCCCCCGAGTGTGGCTGCCACCCCCACCACCGTCACCGCTGCTGATGATGATGACGAGGAGGAGGATCCGCCCTCGCTGCATTCATTTCTCATGGACAGTTCCATCGTCTCCTCCAACGTCGACAATTCCTGCCGAAATGCCAA